CGTTGTGTTGAGACGCGTCTCCGGAGTATGTCGATGGAGACACGTCGTTTTACTGTGGAATGGGTAAATCTGCTGAGGTACGTCGTCCTGTTGTTCTTATGCATATGCGTCGTTATGCTGTGCTATGTTATGACCAAACACGTCTGTGTTGTTACGCTGATCTGAATGTTTTTGTTTTTGTCTCTGGTGGGTTTCGATGGAATTACAAAATATATGGCATGGTCGTATATTGCAAATTTATCGATATGGCGACTGAAAAAGGGTTGAGACCCTCGATAGTGTTCAGAGACCATTCAGGCGTTTGCTCCAATATCACGCCATGATTTATATTTCGGCCATCGTTTACACAGCTCACTTCGTAGACACTGTATTTTTATTTTAACTTAAGGCAGTTATTGAAAAGGTTGCAAAAACCCAACTACAGAACAAGTCCGAAAATTGCGCCCACTCCATGGCTCGATCAAAATCATCGGCCCCCACCAACATGCGACGAGTTGATAATGCTTAGCACGTTGGGCATAGCCGCATGTTCGATGCTGCCTGCAAGCGGCGAGCCGTCCTCTCCCTGCAAAAGAAATAGAATTAAAACAAGAGCAAGCCACTTTTCATCATGCACTGGTTACTGTGTATTGCACACTATGCCACGCTACACCAAGTGAAGGGAAAGGACGCGCCTGGCGGCGGTCCAAGCTGACAGTTCATACTCATGTTGAACCGTACGAGACGACGAGATAACTGGCACTGCCTAATGTTTGTGGTTTGTTTCAGTCTAACTCAGTTGCTAGCGTATTTTTCTTTGCACAATTCTGATTCCAGAATTCGAGGCAATCCAGTCCAACGAAATAGCGATGCATGCAGCGTATCAAAATGCATGTGACGTTTGCTAGCCTGACTAGCTAAACTAAGGCGTGTTTCCATTCCATTTATCAGGACGCGAAGACTCAAATCAATTCAGTCTATCTGTGCCAAACGTGCTCATTTGACGGCTGCTGTTTTTCCGCATACTTACCGGCCTATATGTGGTGATGGGTGTATCTTTGTTGTTCAAGCCTTCGCTGCAGAACTTCCCAAATGAGAAAAAGGTGCACTTCGCCCAGGCCGCGGAGGCGCAGACCACGAGCAGGAGCGCGACGATCTTCATAGCTGCCGCAACACAAATCACTCGTCAAACCGCGAAGCACAACAGCTGCTGACCCGTAATGGTGTTGGTGTTTCCACATGCCCGTTGGCGATCGCTTAGCTCGTGGGCTCTACGCAGTGAACTGAAGCAAAGCGGGCAAAGCGCATGCTCATCTGTGGCTAGTTACTGTGAGGAGAATTGCGAGGGTGCTGCACCCAATCCTATTGAATAACCCCCCACAGGCCCCAAACATGTGCATTCTACCAAGACTTTTTGTTTATAGTATTGAACAGCAGTGTATAAATGAACTTTACTACGCATAAGAGGAATGAAGGGACACGTGCTGGGGTGCGGGTCAATTTGACACCCGAAGGTTTTTCCGGAATCTTCTTTTCCGTCACACCGAGGTCAAAACGATTTTTTCACTTCAGAGCTTGCTGCGTGGGGTAGTCCTGTGCTCATTTCCAATTAAATGATAACATGGACAGCATCTTGCACCTTTCATAAAGTTCTTAAAGGTCAGCTTAGGTCACCGGCCTAAAATGAACCTTGTCAACACATTGTTTTTAAGGACATACCGCCCAGCATAATCCTTGACGTTTATTCCAATTAAAAAACAAAGGAATCCTGCATGATTTTGGTCACAACGTCCTTCTTAAGGTCAAACAAGGTCACTGACCTTAAAATGGGCACTGGTGATCCTTTGCTTAGAACAATCATCGAGGCGCATGATGGTTGCATGAGAAGGTTTGGTGGCACTTTAGACACCAGTCTGGATTTTACCTTGTTTGACCATGTTTAGCGTGAAGTTTATGACCTAGGAACTTCAAATTTTGATAAAAGCGAGCTTACATACATGTCAACACACCCTGTAAATTTGGTGTTTTTTAGTTTTAGGACTTCAGGGGTCAAATTGACCCCTCCCTCCACCCGAACGAGAGGTATCCAACCGGCCACCCGAGCGCATGTTAGTCATTTGTGGCCCACACTTATAGAACTCACTCCACGTAATCCCCCCTTCCCCTTCTCTCCGCATCTGGAAAATCACAGGTCAACTTGTAGTTTTGCCACGGAGGCTGGTCGCGTTTTAGGTTTCTATGGATTTGGGGTTTTCTGTCACCTTTTAAGCAAACATCAGGTGGCAGACGGCTTCAAGGTCTCAACCACACATTCAACTAAATGATTCCTGTTCGCTTGACAGCAAGTGTTTCCACCCTCTGCCGCCCTTTCTCGGTAAGCTCTGTCTCACTAATAATGACGGCACCACAAACTACCGCATTCTCACATCTTCCCAAAAACACCAGTAGCCAAGCCGACCTGGGCTGAAGTACCTTACCTGGCTGAGTGATTGAAATGCTGCGACTGCTGGCCCCTCTTGTTGTATGCACTGCTTTTATATGCAGGTGAGCCGGTCTAAGGCCGGCGCAAGCACGTCCACACTGCAAGGCGACCGCCGAGCCTGCACAATCGGCCGTGAAATTCCGCGGCGGATTTTAGGGATTTACTGGGAAGCGGCGATTTTAGGGATTTACTGGGAAGTCACGAGCATTTGGAAGTCAGGCGCAGCGTCTCTTGGCACGGCGTCTCTGATGGAACCAATCTATGGAACGATCACGCAGGGTGTCGTGGTCCCTTGGAGAGCCACGTTGCCCACCTCCCTCTTTCGTTTTTCTCTTCCGGTGACGGGATCTCAAGCGCCGCCTTCATTACGACTGGTTCGTGATCCTTCCGTAGGTGGGTCTTCATGGGTGGTTCGTCACTGATTTCCCCACCACGGTTAAACGTTTCTGCGTAGTCTTCGACACCATCAATGCGGAGGGCCACACGCTGACCTCGCAGCTTGAATTTGGAGGATCCTGCCAGTGCGCTCTCAAGCGAGGTTGTTTGCAATGCATTCGCAACCAGGCGAAGAGGTGCGGGATAAGTTTCAGGTAGTTTAAGTAGTCTCAGGTAGTTCAGGATACGTAGTCAGGTAGTTTCAGGTAGTTCAGGTAGTTCGCGAGACACGCCAAGATAGCTGAGACGCTTAAAGCCTGGCAAGACGAACGCTTCGTCTGCGCCTGAGCGGTTCCCCAGCTTGAATTCATTTGGAAACGTGTCAATGCTAGATATCTTTTATATGCAGCTCGATTTTTTGGGTCTGGGCAGACTAACAATTCCTAAGGTTTATGATTGAGCGGTTCAGGAAGTTTGCGGACGTCTTTGTTAAGTCGAAAATATCCGTTGCATGTGCATAGGATGTGTCATTGACTGACTGCGAAACTTCTATTGTGGCCTGCGGCGCCTTCAGCGACACGCACTAAAAACTTGCCCACCTCTTGCTCGTGAGTGACCCCGTGACAGCGCGCAAGATGCCCACAGCTGCCTTTCACCATCGACCCGATGGCATCCTCTTCGTATTTACCTTTACCCCGGGAGTAACCTGTCTACATTTACCCCGTGGTCGGGTAACGCCCTCCATGATGTACCACGCGGGATTGTTGACCTGTTTCATTCACCATTCGCTTGAGAGTGATCACCATCCATCATCCATCCATCATCCATCACTATCCAGTCCACCAGAGGAGGACCATTCACGCAATGGCAAAACTCCTCGCATGTACCATCGTCTTCATAATTGCCCTATTAATCGCCGTCATAGTATATTAAACTATCTTATCAAATAAAACTACCATTTCCATCGGTTTTGCTGGCAATCCTTTTTAACTGCAGTGGGTGACGTTACATTTCCGTTAGGGGGCGAGCAGATGACAGCTGTGGCCATGACGTCACAATAAGTTTAGCAATGACTTCGATGATCCTGCGATGTATGTGCAACAGTACCCGACGCAAACCACAAACAAAAATCAAGTTTATTGCAAAAGAAAAAATGGATTTGACCAGAGGCAATGGTCCAGGTAACATAACACATATCATGTTTCAAACTCTTGGCGTTTGGGCGCTGCGTTACATATGTGGCGACACAGTCACCTAGATGCGGCGCGTTATTTCACTCGCTGCCGAAACACCGAAGGGTGGATGGCCTGCAGAGTGCCTGGTGAGTCAGTTAGGATGTTCTGCACATGCTTCATTCTTGATCAGTTTGTAATGAAGGAACCAAGATTAGGGAACGTGGTTTTCCTGAATTACAGCTACTCGAAATTTGGGCTATGTAAATGTTCGTTTACTTTCTATCCTTCAAGATGAATTAATCAAGAAAAGAAAAGATGATATCTCCGAATGAGATGTATTCCAACTTCATAATGTTATACCACATTACAGCTTTGAATTGACAGGCTTTAACAAAGTATGGAATGTCATGGTTTCCCATTTGGTGGCACGAGGTCTCCTTGTGCCAGATTTTTCATACAATGCATTCGTATTGCATGTTTCAGCTGTTTCTGTTCTAAAACTGAAAAAAATCATTAGAAAAGGTGCCAGGCCTCATTTACTTGATCACTTAATTCATTTTTGGTTATTTTTATCCAAAACCGATTTATTGGGAACACTGGCTCACCGAAACCAGTCAGGGAGTGCTAACGTTTTGTGAAAAATGATAGGTACCAAATATGTGGACATTGCTAGTAAAGGGTAGTTTCACTATTACAACACGTCAGGTCATAATTTAAGTTTTCAGTTTGGAATGAGTTGGGGCTTTAGCAAAGTGTGTTGACTGCATAAGAATGCTCGGAAAATCTCCAGTCTAAAACATGGCAGATCTTAACAAGATCTTGATGGATATGGCAAGGCAAGCACAAAATTCGGGCGAACTTTGTCATGTATGTGGCAAAAGTTCTTCAAATGAAATGTAAACTTCAAATATTTTCCAAAGTCTCAGAAATTCAAACCTTTAGTCGGAGTGAGAAACTGGGCAAGAGCATTTTTTTGTTAGTAAAAAGCTCACCACGAAGTTCTAACCCAAGCTCCCGTCCGAGCAAATTAAAACCGATTAACTCCGTGGTAACAATGAAGTTTTCGTTTCGCAAGTAAGTTAGCCAAAGTTTTCAGCTTGACAGCAACTTCAAATTAAGTATGCTGCTTCCATCGATTCATTTCAGGGTATGCGCGAGAACAGAGTGTTGCTTGCGAAAAGCTCATTGTTCACCCACTCCCCCACACTAATGTGTCTCTAAGAATGAACATGGTGACGGTGACAATTACGGACCACGGATAACCTCCCCACCGAGCAGCGCGCTGCTTGATTTTAGTGAGGTACTCCTTACATCCAGCAAAAAACTTTGTTATTAGGTGTGCACTTATCTATTTCTGTCTTATCTATTTTACTCACAATTGCATTGCCCATGCGCAACTTAGGCGCCAACAATGCATTTACCTGTCTGCAATTCTCCCGTAATGATTTGAAAGGTCTGGAACACTTCACAGAAAGACAGAAAATTGCCGTGGGGTGAGCATTCCGCTCAGGACCGTCTATACCGCGAGGACCTTTTGAAACTTCTTTTTTCCTTCCTTTCCGATGATCTTTAAAGACACCATCTATGGTTTAAAATACTGATCAGCTTCTTTTCAAAATGGACCAACTACAAACTTGCACATCTCTCATACGTGCATTGAATTGATTTGCCAGTCACCCGAACATATTCGATATCTATCCAAGAGTGGACAATTCATGGGGCCTAAAGGAGACGATTTGAAGCACGGAACTTATTTCTACCGCCATTTTTGCCCTGTTAACCCCCCCCCCCCCCCCCGATAGCCGTTTCTTTGGATCATGGCGAGGCCCAATAATGATACATATAAGCCTTTCCAGTTTCACTTCCTCACCACGTTACACCATCGTGCCGTGGATAGCTTTGGGACAGACCTGGCGCAGCTAATTGAAAAGTGTTTGGTAGCGAAATCCCGCCCTTCGAAAGTGTTTTTTCTCATGCACATGTCCTCTTCTTTATTTCGCATTTTAATTTTGAAGGCTAGTGGTCATGATCGATATTTCTATTTCGCGGGCGGGTTGGATGACACTGTCTGCCAGCACATCATGCGAAAAATGGATATTTTTGCGCGGGCGAGAAGAAAGTAGTCTGCCCTTAAACAGCCAGTAAGTTTCTCCTGTGGAGCAATTAATTACTAACCTTGCCTGCTTTAAACACGCGATTTGTGACCAGATTTAGTCACTTTTTTGTTTTAATCCATCGAGTTCTGGTCATAAGGCAAATTATGACGTCACAAGACGTGCAATTAAACTGTTTTTTTTCCATACTCTTGCTTGTTTGCCTTTAAGTTGTTGAACGGATCCCTCACGTCTGCTCTAACAATGTTGTCCATAGTTGCCATGGTTTGCTGGCTGGCAAATGACCGTACTGTAGATATGCACGATATCTTTAACACGGAAATACTCTAGGCTGCATAGCAATTACAATATGAGTTAGATATTGGTTTTTCACAAATAGTCCATTTCATTTAAAATGTGAAGCCAACATCTCGAACGTTAAGTCATTAATTACGAATAGCCAAATCTAAATAGATACCTTTGCTGCAGCGGAAAAGGCAAGCAGTAAAACTGGTTTTGTGTCCATTGATAAATTATGTTATGCTTGGAAGAGAGAGATTGCTTCGTGGAGCACATCCACTATTGCCTTTGACAGGGGCTAACCATGGCAGTCAGGATAAGCTGTTCAAAGTGATTTGAGGGTTTTGATTTGTGTGTTTTCAACTTTGTCTGGTGTCATTTAGCTGACACAAATGAACTGAATCGAAACGCAAGCTGGAGCCAGCCAAAAGTAGGCATGTTTTTTGGCATGTTTTTGTCATAATTGCTACTGTCAAGAAATAGGTTTAGGTGAGCTGGGATGATGTTTAACATATGGGCTACTCTAGGTTAGGCTGAGTTTTTTAAATGCATGGCAAGTGGCAGTGGGAAGTTTGCAACAATCAGTGACTCACAAATGCTACTGACGCAATTAGGTTAGACAGGATGAGATGAGGTAAAGCTTCTTTAGGTTAGGCTTAGTTAGGTTTCTTTCATGGAAATAATCATTGATATTTAGCAAGAAGGAGTGACATGCTATTTGCATTTCCCGTCTTTCACCCCGTCTTAACAGAAGCCAGCGGCGTGCCTGTTGTGTTTGATTTGGTGACGTGCTGATGTGCAGGAGTCCATGGCTTTTCTGTTTGAGGGGTTTATGCTCGCTGAATTATTTGCTGTTGTTTTTATTGTTGAATTACTTTGCTTTGTTATGTGTTAAACAGGTCCGGAAGGGAAGAGCAAAGTGAAGCATCAAAACATTGGTGTTACAAAGTTTTTGATACTCATTACACTTTTATGAAGTAACTATTCTGCAACTTATCGTTTTCACTGTAATGTCATAAGATTTTATAAAGAAATACATTTTTGTCATGTTTATGTCCATGCCTACGTAAGAATGTATGTCTTTGCTAAAGCATCT